GGCCCCGCTCCGGCTCTCTCGCACCTGGCTGCTGGGCGCGAGGCTCGCGCCGCGCTGCAGCCGCAGAACCGCGCTGCAGCCGCAGAACCCCGCTGCGCGCCCCGGACCCCTGGCCGTCGCGGGCGAGCAGGCTGCGCCGACCACGTGGAGACCCCAACTTGGTGTGCGGCGGAGTCGTGGCTCTGACCGAGCTAACTTGTAAAGTTCAAGTCGCCTCTGTTCTTACTGGCCCAGGGCCTTAGGATAATGGATTTCCTGGTACTGCTGGGACACGTTCGAGGTAACTAAGACCTGTAAGGGTGCCACCCCGCAGTGCTGGACAGAATCTGAGCCGGTGGAAGGAGAAGCGGCATTTATTTGGTTATGCGGTAGCTGCCTCAGCGCTAAAACCGCGGACAGCCCCAGTGCACCACCGTTAAATTCCAGGGCCTCCACCCAAACATTTCCCGCTTTCCTCTGTTACAAGAAATTTAAAATATTATCTCGAGTACCATTAAATATGGTCTTTCTCCTTAAGAAAAGAGCTTCAAAAACCGATGCTCCCTAAAAGCTGTTCTTTGCAGTAGTGATTATTTGTTCCACAGTTTTTTTAAATTAGCCCTTAGAATGTGGTAGGCGATGTCATCAAGTTAAGGCTTTTAGTTGTTAATTAAAAGACATTGTCCCTGTTTCAATCCAGTGATGCTGAGAGATGAACCCAAGAAGAAGAAAAATGGTTTGGGTCCTTTGGTTGAAGGCAACAGAAAAACTTTAAACAAAAGGGAATTTAATAGAAGAGTATGGGGAGAATGGGTGGAGACCTGCCTAGACAACCAGGCTAGGAAGCCATCAGGAGTTAGGGCAACCTCAGAGCGCACAAAAGCAGTAAAATGGGATGATCAAGGCAGGAATCTTGCGACGACGTCTTCATTGCTGGAATAAATGAACCCCAGTCTACTGCTCTTTATACTCCATTCCCAATTCGGGTCCCGTCATGCAGTTGTGCTAACTTGGTACCTCAGCCTGCTTGTCAAGTCGGGTAGGGTGGGCCACTTGATCGAGCACTCTGTGAGATTTAAGAAAGAAAAATGGGCAGCGGGTGGCTGGAAGATACCTTCACAAGAGGAAATAAGGTACCAAGTTAAATGAGTTGGGGAAACTCATTTAACAGGATCCCTGTAATAATAGTTATTAAAGACTCTTCAGTTCTCGCAGTAAGGAAACTTCTTTCTCTAGCGTTTGGTGAAGTATGGAACACTTTTACTTTTCATGTTCTTACACTTCCGGAAAGTGTTTTGGAACACCATAGTTTTTGAGGCGTTTTGTTTATTTCTGTGTATCATCATCCATGGACAAAGACATAAGAGCACGGAATAAACCTAATGTTACAAGCTCTTGTACAATCTGTATTTTGACAGATTTAGAGAGAGTTGGAATTGTCTCTAGACATATGTAAAATCATATCGTAATGGATAACTATATTCTAGCTCCTTACTCCAGAGCAAATCCCTCTCATAGCAGACTTTTCCCATAGCAAGTGAGGGGGTTCAGTGTCTTTTGTAAGGCCAGTATTGAGGTTTTCTATCACATTAAGAAGTCACTGAGCCATATTTTTAATTGCTATACTTACAGAAAGAACAGATCCGTACTAATTATCCCAAAAAGAAAATTGATTTCTGGTGAATACTCTCCAGTTTTCAAGTGGAAAATACAAATAACTCTAGTTAGTTTATTAAGAAGTGTTTAAATTAAATAACTCAGTTTATTCAACTATGTGTGTGTGTGTTTTGTAGCTTCTTCATCCGATTCAGTAGGAGCCAGCATCGCTCAAAACTAATTGTGCCAAGGGAAAGTTTCTAATGTTAAAATGTTGGATATTTACATTTTCTCTGCCACATTCTGTGGTACCAAATGATATTAATATTTTCAGTCTAATTCATTCTAGTCAACTAGACATGTCATGGAAGCTTAGTAAAATTTACTGTAGTAAATAGAAAATAATCCCTACCTATAAATGTTTTAATTACATTACTAAATACATTAATAAAGAGGTACAGACAAAATATAAAAAGATCTTAATTATCATCAGAGTAAGGCAAGTTTAATTTTTAAAAATTTTTTTGGTACCAAGAATTGAACTCAGGACCTTGCACTTGCCAGGCAGGTACTTATCCCTGGCCCAGGGTAAGGCAATTTTAAAGTCAATTACACTTTGTCATGTATCCAATTATCAAAGATATAAAGCAATGTAATACTAGAAAGAAGGTAGTTAAATATGAATGAATGAGAGTGCAAGTGAATACAAATATTTTGTAGGATAGCTTGTCAGTATTTACATTTTCTAAAACTGTATAGATCTTTCGGTCCAGTAACTTGGCCTCTAAAAATTAGGTTTACTTTAAACAAAAGTACAAAAACTTACATAAAAAGATTGTCAAAGCAGAGGGGAAAAGGAAACTTTCTACACTGCTGGTGGGAATGTAAATTAGGATAACTACTATGGAAATCAGTATGTAAATTCCCCAAAAAACTAAAAAAGATCTACCATTTGACAAGTAAGGCAATCTTTGCTATTCATTTGAAGGATTTAAAGTTTGCATGTCATAGGGATACCTGCATACCAGTTTACTGTGGCATAAGGTTCAATAGTGAAGATATGGAACCACCTAAATGCCCATTAGTGGATGAATCAATATAGAAAATATAGTACATATACAGTATCATTCAGCAATAAAAAAGAAGAAAATATTGTCACCTGCAAAAAAAATCACAATGTTGAAAGAAATAAGCCAGACTCAGACAAATATAGAATATTTTCCCTAATATGTATGAATAATTTAAAAATGAAAAGAAAGTAAAAGGAAGAATTATGAAACAATAGGAAAGGAATAAAGATGAGGGGAAAGTAATAGGAAGGACAAATATGACCAAAGTGCTCTATATACACTGAAACCCTGCAAAAATGTGAAACTAGGGAGTGGGATGGCAAAGGAGGTAATGTGGAGGAATGGCTAGAGTGTGTTATGTACAGGTACAAAGCTGTCAACATCTTAGTAATATCCAAGGGGAAGAAAAGTAGAAGGAGAGAGTGACGGAGACAGAACTGCAGAAGTATTATCAGGGGCCAGTCAAAATAGAAGAACACCAAGTAGCTATTTTTTTAACTGTTGGTTTTTACACAGTGATGTCAAAGAGACATCAGTAAGTTTTCTTAAACAAGTTGAAGATCAGTGGGTATAATTTGATCTAGTTTATGTAAAATATGAAGGGAGGGAAGGAGAGAGATGTATGTGTAACTGTGTTTTCCATCTTACTGGTTCAAAAGGAAAAGGAGTCATCTCAAAGTAACCCACCCAGTCCCACATACATAAAGATTCTGGGTCCTTCCTTGTCACACCACTGTCATTGACACTCTGCCCAAGGGACCCACAGATCCTAGGCCATCAAGAGGACCAGGATGGGTCTCCCCTCCTGCTGAATGTTTCACTGTGGTAGGACACAGTGCTGAGCTCAGCTTAATGAACACTCAGAGTCAGCAGGTTCTGGGGATAATGGTAAAGAATGGTATTTCTAATGTTAATTCTACTCCTGCCCCAGGATTCTTCTTGACCAGGCCCGCTGTCCTGGCCTCAGGGATCATACTTCTTTATCAAGTTGTCAGGGTCTTCTTGATAGGAGGCTAAGGCTTGGCAATATGGCTGATGCAATTAGACACCACCTGCCAACTGAAGAGGCCTGTTAAGCACAGAGCAGCAGGTCCTGAGAGCAAGCCAAACCCTGCACCTGATATCAATCTTCTGACACGAGAACATGCTGAACCCCCGCATTCGATATTGAGTGGGACCACCTGAATCAACTGTTATCAAAGAAGATATAAAAAGCAATGGATTTTGCCGCTACTGCCCTCTTTTTCTTGCAGGGCTCTGTTCTGCTTACAGGATATACCTTGTCTTTTTTCCTTCAAAGCATCCTTTTCTCCTTGGGAACTTTTTTTGTGCTGCTTTTCCTTTTCTTTTTCTTCTTCTTTCTGCACTAAAATAAAGTTATCTTTTACATTCACCAGTTGTCCTAATGAATTCATCGAATGGGCCAACAAGAACATGGAAACCCTGCTAATTCATGCCCCACCTAAGAACAGTTTCATCGTCCCACGCATGGAGCTTGCTCCAGTCCTTCCAGTTGATGAGGTTCACTTTTCTGATCATGTTTCCCCCCTCTATATTTTCTTGGGTACACAAGCCTCTGCTTTAGCCTGGAGGCCTAGCCTTCTGAAACTCAAGTCCAAAACCAAATCAGGTTTGTTTGTACCTTTGCTTGCTTGCTTATTTCCCCAACCTGTCCTCTCTAACGTTCTTATATTGAGGCTTACTTGATTGACATAAATGCCTACTCAGATTGACTGCACAACAGGTCAGAGTACTAAGAAACGGCAAAAACTAAAAGTGTTTTCTAGAGTTATGTCTAGAAATAGTCTAGGTAAGAAACTATTTTCTCGAGGAAAGGGTGACATGAATCTTTTATTTTTCACTTAGACCTTTAGGCATTTTTTATCATTATTATGATAACCATGAATATCATTTATAATATTTAAATTCATTAGTAAAATGTTTCACTTAGACTCAAATTACAAAAATGGGTATGATAATACTTGCTTGCATTCTTGAAAAATAGTGTCACAGAAAAAAATTGCTTAGAGAATGTAGCTCAATGGTAGACTACTTGGCTAAAGAAGGAAGAAGAAGAAGGAAGAAAAGAAAAAGCAGAGGAAATGTGAGGAGGGGGAAGGGAAGGGATGAGGAAGGAGAGAAAAAAATTGCTTAAACATTTTAGCAGTC